GCACAGAGTGATGGCGCACAGAGTTGCATTGGTCCCTTCCAGGAGCAGCGTGGGACCGGGACCGCCCAACGTAAGCGCCGCCCCCTTCAATGGGCAGGTTCTGAATGGCTCTGCAGCATTAAGACCAAGTGTAGCATGAGTACAGCAGGCCCAGCTATGCTGGCCCAGCATTTCTCTTCCACCACCCAACCTGCAGCCTCCCGGAGCCAGCCCCCCATACCCCGTGTCAGCTGACCCCCCTCCCAGAGCCAGCACCCCAACACTCTGCCCCAGCCCGGAGCCTCCTCCTGCACCCAAACTCCCTCCCAAAGCTTGCACCCTTCACCCCTTCTGCCCCCCTGCCCCAAGCTCAACCCAGAGCCCCCTCCCACACTACAAACCCCTCGGCCCCAGCCCAGAGCCCACACCCCGTCCCAAACTCCTGCCCCAGCCCGGTGAAAGTGGGTGAGGGAGAGCAAGCAACGGGGGTGGGGGGTGGGATGGAGTGAGTGGGGTGGGGCAGATCTTGGATTGCCCTTAAATTCAAAAAGTGATCTTGGGTGTAAAAAGGTTGGAAACCACTGCTGTAGACTCTGGTGGACCTGCAGGTTCAACAATCCCGTGCTCACCTCCCTCTGCAGCCCAGAACTCAGTATTGGGACCTCCCTACAAACCCCCAACATTCTACGTGGCCTTACAGGTCTATGCACAACCCCCACCACTCCTTCCTGGAGAACATTAAAAGAATCACAGCTTCACATATACCAACCATGACTTTCACAGGTCAGTGTATGTGTAGCTGGAATGGATGTGAATGTTATTTCCCCTTCATAAGTTCTTTTCTCTTAATTGATTGAGTTTTACTATGTTTTTAATATATTTGTTTTTAAATTGCCTGGGATGTTTTTGCACTGATTTTGTTACAGAATAAAATTCTATTATTTAGAACATAATTCATCTTTATTAGTTCACAGCATATGCTGGCTAGTGCTCATCAGTTCTGAAAGCAACCAATTACCTGTTACTGCACAGTGTCACTTAACGCACAAGATCATTCACCAAAAAAGAAAAAAGTAATAGGTGCACTGATAATGTAATATCTCTACACGTACAGCAATAATCACACAATACATATCGTGCCAAAAAAAGAGCAGGGCCAGGTAGAGCACACTACCACCCACTACTCTGGCTCACTATTAAAATGGTCTTTCAAAGCCTCCCTGAGCCGTATAAGCTCCACGTTGAGCTCTTCTAATAGCCCTTGTATCTGGCTGTTCAAATTCAGCAGCAAGCTGCTCCACTTCTGCCCTCCACCCCTGTGGAAACTTTCCCCCCTTTCCTTCACAGATATTACGCAGGACACAGCAGGCAGCTGTAACCATTGGGATATTTTTCTCATTGAGGCTCAATCTTGTGAATAAACAATGTCCGCGTCCCTTCAAACAACCAAAGGCACGTTCGTGTGTCATTCTGCACCTGCTGAGCCAATAGTGGAAGCTTTCCTTGGTGGCGTCGAGGTGGCCGATGTACGGCTTGATGAGCCAGGGCAGCAAGGGGTAGGCTGGGTTACCCAGGATCACTATAGGCATTTCAACATTGCCAATGGTAATCCACCAGTCCGGAAAGAGAGTCCCTTCTTGTAGCTTTCTGAACAGTCCTGTATTCTTAACAATGCAAGCATTGTGCACCTTCCCAGACCAGCCAGAGTCAGAGAAACATCTCCGGTGATCCACCAGCACTTGCATAACCATAGAAAAGTAGCCCTTTCTGTTGATGTACTCTGTGGCAAGGTGGTCTGGTGTCAAAATAGTGGTATGTATTCTGTTTATTGCTCTATCACAGTTCGGGAACCCCACTGCTGCAAATCCATCCATTATGTCCTGCACATTGCCAAGAGTCACAGTCCTGCGTAGCAGCAGACAATTAAGAGCCCTGCACACCTGCATGACCATAGCCTCCATGATGGATTTCCCAACTCCAAATTGAGTCCCAACTGACAAATAGCAATCTGGAGTTTCAAGTTTCCACTCTGCGATCACCACCCGTTTCTCCACTATCAGTGCAGCTCTCATTTTGGTGTCGCTGAGCTAGAGGGCAGGGGGCAAACTCTGTACACAGATCCAGGAATATGGCCTTGCTTATCCGAAAGTTCTGTGCCTCTGCTCATCATCCCAAACCTGCATTATGATGTGATCCCACTAGCCAGTGCTTCTTTCTCAGGCCCAGAACGGTGTTCCACCGTGAATCCCACCAACAACCTTGAATTGGTTCTTGCCATTTCCCATAGCAATATGTCCTCCAAGGAATCGTCATGTTCCCCATGGCTCTGCAAATACTGCGGGATCACGTGCCCTGTGCTTGCAATGCTATGACAATAGAGCAGAGCTGTGCAGGCTCCATGTTTTTGTCAGAGAGGACAGACATCGAGAACAGCCATGCGGGTTTGTGGGATTTTGGAGGGGTGGGGGGGGAAAAACGCAAAAATTATGGAGATACAGATGACGTTATGGGATGGAGACAGTTGCAGACTGGCAAGTTGACCCCAAGCTCCCAGTTACCCTGGCACAACTTGTTTCAGCCTCATCATGCATTGCCAAAGCTTCCTAAAAGACAGTGCATTGGATGGTGAAGAGTTACACACTGGTATACCTTCTCATGGTGCACCGCACTCTGCATAGATACAGCACGCTGACGTAAGGAGACAAGCATGCACGCGCACAAATGATGTGCTTACTGCGGCAGCTGTATGCCAACATAAGTTGAGTTGACATAAGTTGCTAGTGTAGACATGGCCTTAGACACACAGCCTCAAGTTGTGCACAGGGGGAGTGTAGCCACTGGACCACCTTTTGATTGCGCCAGCAGTGTGTAGTCCTTGTACTACCTCAGTGCAACTGTATTCCGTCCTCATGCAGGGATACACCTGCGGAGTGAGATTTTTTACACCTCTCTTTCCTTGCTTGTGCTCCCATTTAGGTCTGTGCAAAATCAACTTTAATTTAAGTTGACCTTTCTTTTAAAGTTAAGTGCCAATGATAGGACCCGTGTTTCTATAGAATGTTGTTTCACTCAGACCACAACAATGGCACCAAGCTAGTAACTGGGAAGAATTACTGTCCTTAGCACAGATACAGCAGGAACTAAAAAAGAACCAGCAGAGCCCCATGGTAGACAACGTATGCTGACAGGAGTTTCTCTGTCGGCATAGTAACACCACCTCACCAAGCAACATTTGCTATTCCAACTGAAGCACTCTTCCGTGGGCACAGTTGTGTCTGTACTGGGGGCTTCATTGGCATAGCAACGTTAGCTACAGGGCATTGTCTTTCCATGCCTCTGAACGACACAGCTATGCCGACAGAACTTTGTAGATTAGTCCTGGCCTGAGATCATAAGCTCTCTGGGAGAGGGGCTGTCTTTTTGTTCTGCATTTGGACAGGACCAAGCAAAATGGGCCAATACAAATAATAAATAGAGTGGTTATTAAAGACACAAACTTACTAATTAGCTAAGAACTGTTAGATGGAGGGAAAGAGTTTATTTAATGATTAGAGGAGGGGACTTGGCCTTGAGATTCCTGGCTCATATCTGCTGGGGCTTGCTACTACTTAACACGGCTGTGCCTTGGCTCATCCAGCTATAAATAGGTATAATAATACTTACTAACCTCACAGTGGTGTTGCAAGGAACTGTTTGTAAAGGGCTAGAGATCCTCAGATCACAGGCAGTGATAACAAAGTAGGATTATAATTAAAGAAATAAAAAACTCCTAAGTTCTTTGCCAAAAAGTTCTCCTAGTATTGGTAAAAGCCCACATATCTTGTTCCTTCTGCAGGAAGGGACTCAACTCTGAGTGAGTCACAACGTTTAATGGTCAATGAAAAGGCATAAACCTTAGAATGTACAAGTAGGTTTTGTGATAATAGTCAAAAGCAGCAATCTTAGAGAGGAAGAAATTACAATTCTGCCTAGATTTATGATCAGAGTAGTTGCCACTTACAACCAGCAGTATTTGACAGAATTATTTCTGCTAATTAACCACCTGAAACAGCAAAGAAAGAGGAAAGGGCTGGAAAGACATGGTGATTTTCCTAAGGGAGGGGATGTTAGTAGGAGGGTCAATGGTGGCGGGGAGAAACAGGGGAGGAAAAGGGGAGCAAGAAAAGATGCAGAAACTTGTTGGGAAAAAGTGTTTTCTTGAGGAGGAAAAGTGGGAGGTCAAGGAGAGGGCACAGTAAATTATGGCACTCTTAGACTGAAAGGAAACAAATTCCTTACACTTTGCGGGGGAAAAGGGTGCTCTGTATGAGCAGATAAGAAACTTGATATTACTTGAGGCACAACAAAGACTGCCAGCACCTTTGGAAAGTAGAGCGAGGGGCATAAATTAGACTTTGCAGCCCAATAGCCACAATGTTGTACAATGACATTTGCTGAAATTATTTCCAGATCTCATCACTAATATGAAGATGAGGCATGTGCAGCTTGTCTTCAAATGTCAGCTTCGCCTTTGAGAGTCACTGTGGGACCTGGGAGGGATGGCATTTGAGGTGCCGGAAAGAGGGAAAGTACAGAGGACAGCAAGTTCGTTAAGGGCAACAGGCAGGGCAGTGTTGTGGGCAACAACCCAAGGGAGTGGGGAACATCAGAATAAACCAGGCTAGAAATCAACAGGGTGAAGGTGCTTGAGACAATGTAGTTTTTTGGAGTTGAGAGATGGTGGAAAATGTACTCAAAGCGGTGGTTGGTGTAGGTGAGATCAGGGAAAGAGGAACAAAGGCATTTCTGATGGCAAGTTCAATGCCGAGAACAGGAAAACAGGTGAGAGAAATAACTGAAGATTAAGAGTCAAGAGCTAATTTGGAAGAGTGAGGGTCAAGAGGGACCTTTAACACGCACAATAAAGCCCTCAATAAGATTCAGACATTACTAAGTTTTAGGGACCATTATGTTAAGTGAATGAAACTCTTAACTACTGATTCATTCAAAAGAACCTTACCTTGGAACACTAGTTTACCTACCTGCATTAGCATGTAATAGATCCCAGCCACGCCATGGGCTGCTCCAATGTACTGCTTCCTGTGCCATTGGTACAACAGGGGGCAGCGTTCAGTCTTGCGTTCCTCCTTTGAGAAGTTTTTACCCGATTCAATAATGGCATCTACCACCTAATGTTGAAATAAAACAAACACTTGCCATGAATATCACTTTCATTTATTCAGAGAGGACTACTTTACAAAGAACTGTAAGACACAACACTAGAGAGAATGTATCAAAGAATATGAGGCAATATACAAATCTACCTCTGCACTACAAAATATCTTATTTCCTTATCCCATCAAGACTTTTAAGTGTCAGAAAAACTGCCATTTTTCTGTACAATAGAAAGCTCTCATCTTAATTTGCCCTCCCTCCCCTGTGCGTGTGTATTATAATACAGTCTTTAATTACACAATCACATACTATTTTTTCCAAAAGGATCCCTGCCTCATTTGGTGCACAGTACAAACCTGCGCTGAGATCAACAGGGTTGTGTAATGAAGGAGGCTGTTGTGTGTAGGTCACCTGCCTCATCTGTTGCAGAAGTTAGAAGGTGTGTAGTGAACAAGGCAGGGGATGTAGGAACAGAAAGGATGGGCTCAAGGTTAAGACAGTTGAATGCAGTCCTGAAGAATTGTCTTCTAACCCTTAATTAAGGCATTTCCTAACTTTTGAGTGCCTGACTTAGAAAAAGCCCTAGGAAATTACACACACACACAAGGTATGTTAAAAGAACATCATTAAGGTTTCAGTTTTTTTAAATAAAACCGGGGGTGGGGGTGGGGAGGAAATTCCATCATGTGGCATCATATAGATACCCACATGGGTATTCATCAACATGGTTGGAATCTTTAGAGCCAACACATAGACCTCTGCCATTTGAGCTAAGGGAGTAACTGATAGCAGCAGTAGGTGTGAGGGGTAAGACTCTTTGTCAGTGGGTTTCAAACATATTTCCTGACAACAAAGGAATGGTGAGACTCAAGATCCATTTCAGACTTTGGAGGGGTACGTTCTGCAGTAGGCACAAACTTTCCTGGTAATTCCCGACCTCGATTCCAGCATGTTCCCTTCTGCTCAGTCCCCTCCAGCCAGTCCCAGATTCCTCACAAGTGAGTCCCAGTTCCCCCCTCCTGTTTCCTTATCTGATCAGTCTCTCTCCCTCACTGTGGCCTCTAGTTCCCCCTGCCCGCTCCCACTGGGCTCTTCACCCAACCTCAGAGTCTCACCATCTCCACCCAGGTCATCACCAGCTAGTCCTAGTTCTCCCCCACACCCCAGCTCCTCAGCACATGTCTCCCCTCCACCCTCCCCTTCTTTCCCACTAGTTCTCAGTCCCAGCTCCTCCCCCAATCTCAGTCTCTCCCACACATACTGACCCCCAAATTTTCACAGGGACTACAAAAGGCACATCCCTGAAACAAAGGCCACTCCTCCTGCCAAATTTCAAGTCCCTGCTCCAAAGCATGAAAGCACTAGAGCTTTTCAAAGAAAAGATCAGTTAAAAAAACAACAAACAAACAAACATTGACAGAACATGTTTCTCCCTAGCCTTGAACTCAGAAAAGGCTGACCTGAAAATTCAGGCTGAGGCAGATACCTGGCATGCAAAGTTTCAGCCCAATTGGTTACAGTTTGGAAGAGTTATAAGCAACTGAAAACAGTCTTACAATGGGAAGTGTCAAGCAATCGTAATAAGCAGTGCTTCCAGCCCCACCCCTATAATTAAGGTTTTGTTTAAAAGTATAAAATTTTAAAAGTTCAGTTGTATACTTAAGTACTGCTTTTGCTGTAGAAGAATTCACAAATTCTATATCCTCTTTCCTTTCATTGCATCTAGCTTTACTACGGTTTACATGGATTACTAAAGAAACAAGTTAGAGTGACAAGTGAAGTCCTTCATGGGTAAGAGCTAAACAGAGAGGACCTGTTTCTGACCTCATGTTGGTACAAATTAGGAGTAACTTTACTGAAGTTATAAGAGGGTAAATAAAAGCAGAATCAGGTCCCAAGTGTTTCTCCTCACTAGACTACCCCATGAACTCTCTTTTGCAGGTTAGGTGGAAGTTTACTTCATATTTTCTTTCCTATATTTGAAGTGAAGCAACAGATATGATTCCACCTCAAAGACATGGTAGTACCTGGCAATATGAAGTTTCCTACCTCTTTGATAACAGACTGAGGTACAGTGTCTGGACCAATTTCTGTATTCAAATAGAGCAAAGCATAGAGGTAACCTGCTCTGCCATAAAGAAGCTCATCTGGAAGTTCAGAGTCTGTGCTTATGATCGTTCTCTGGAGCTGCAAAAGCCTGGGTCAAAAAAGAAAAAAAGTGTACCATCTCATTAGGATATACTAGAGTTCTCCTTCTGTATACGGTATGCTACCCAATCCAATCAAGAGGTAATGCTAAAAATGTCTCACACATTTTGTTTTTGGCTCAGGGAACATAATCAGAACAGACTTTTTTTAACCTCTCCTATGGCAGTTTTTGATTACTTAATAATGATGCTTTGTGCAATCATAGCATTTTTCATCTGCAGATCCCAAACTGAAGGTGGAGAAGTATTATATCCCCATTTCAGATGGGGAAAACTCAGGCTCAGAACAATTAAGTGACTTGCCCAAGGTCACAACACAAGACAGTGGCAGACTCAGAAACAGAACCCAAAATCTCCAGACTCTCAGCTTTGTGCTCAATCCACTAGCCCTCAGCTGCCCCTAAAATCATCTGCAGTTTACTGAGCTGCTGCACTTTAAAAAGTTTCATATACTATGAAAACGTTGCATTTTGACAACCGTTTCAGCAATGGATCTTGACACTCTTGACAAAGAATAATTCACCTGACAACACCCATGGGAGCTAGGCAATTACTCAATGGCAAACAGACACAGAGTGCAACTTGCCAGAGGTCACATGGCAAATGAGTGGCAGAGGTCGGAATACAACCCAGGAGATTTTACTGGCTGACTTGGGAATAAAATTTGCAGTTACCAGACAACTAGACTATCTTGGGCCTTTAACACTCTAAAATCCCAACTTCAATGTTACTGATGACAAAAATAATTTACAAAAGGCTTGCTTAAAATTTCAAATAGCCACCAACTGATGGGCCAAACTGTAAAATTCTAATAAAAAAAATTCTGAATAAGAATCTCAGGATTTGGCCCATCATTTGTAGGTAAAAAAAATGTACCATCAAATGCTTGACAAGGACTTTGCTATTTTACAAAAGTGCTTTGTTTGACTCTAGGGATTTTTTAATGGGGCCAGATTGACAGCCCCAGGGAGTGAAACCCTCAATCCACCCACAAAGTAGCTACAGCATGGGAAGGCAGCAGCAGCACAACATGCCTCAATCCTGAAATGGGAGAGGGAGGATCAGTTTCCGTGCCAGCTCAATCCTGTCTTCTCTGTAGAATTGCCCAGAAGGTGCCAGTTAGTTGAAACTGTGCGTGCGTGTGTTTAATTTGAATATGACCATCTGTCCCCGGATTTAGACCAAAACCTCAATTCACATAGTTATCAAAGGTGGTTGTTGGCTATTAGCTCGTGCTGGATCTGAACCAGTGATTTGAAAGACTCTTGCTTTGGTCTCACTAACAATCCATTTTAAAAAAATGGCTTTAATTATTAACACCCTTTGATGCATCAATGATATATCAGATTTAAGACTCATATTAAACTGTTCTCTTTTTAAAAATTGCAAATATGGAATTTGAGCATAAAAAGATCTTCATATCACACCACCACGTGACCAGCTACAAGGAAAAAAAAGAAGAGGAAAGGAACAGAAAAATCACAGATAGTTGCGCTATTCATACTATACCAATCACTTGGGTATCTGAGTGTGTGTCTATATATATATATATATATATATATATATGTGTGTGTGTGTGTGTGTGTATGTATATGTGTATATATACACATATACATACACACACACACACACTTAAAAAAAAGGGAACAGACACCTAACACTAATTACATTTTCATGTTTTCTCCTGAAGATAATTTTCAAGCAAAGGCTAATTAGAAAATCTACTGCTCTTAATCTTATTTCACAGAGACTTTATTTTCATGCTTTGTGAAAACAATGTTACTACAATTGCATCCAGAAGGGTATCTGACAATAAGATTTACTCTAACATAAGAGCGGTCTGTTTTAAAAACAAACAAATGGATATTCACATCAAAGCCGCAGCAGAGATTAATCTCGCTGGGATCCTGGATTAGAAAGAGACTGATTAAACTTCTAAATATAAAACTGTACTGGAAATACGAAAGTGGAGCCAGTCCTCAAAAGTTAATCTGCAAATTCTAGCACAGTAAGGTATACAGGCAGAATGCTAACAGGTGCAGTTGTGGTACCGAATTCAAACTGCACAGCACACCGGTTCTTATAATCCCCAGTGGGACATCAAGGATTGGAAAGCCTTCAAAAAGGCTCTGGATCAAAATTTCCCAGGACATAGGTATAAAAGACAGACATCTGTTTGATGGAAAGCAAGAGCACTTTTCCCAAGCCAGCGTTATTGAAATATGAAACCTCTGGCAATCACTTATTAAAATACTGGTCGTTGATCATATATAAAGGGATCCTGAGTAAATGTACAGCCTTTTCCACTATCACCAGACACTTACTTTGTGATGCACTCCTTAGACTCACTGTCAATCTTTAGTTTGTGGTACACTACTGCCCCTACTGCCAGGGGTCCAGCATCACCACAGAGAAAAGTAACCCTTCGTCCATTCAGATTACGAAGTATTCTCTTCACATAATCCAGGGATCGCTGCAAGTACTTCTGGTCTTTTGTGACGCGGTACAGTTGTAGGTATAAAAGGGCTATGCCTAGAACAACCATCGACAAACAAAAACAGAACAAGAAGATATATCCTTTTCTTTCCACTTAAATGGCATTTCAATTACCTGTTTCTCCTTCCCTCTGAATCAGTGCCCCAGAATGTTAGAAGATACCTGTGCAGTTAACAAGATGTAAAATCAAGGCTCTGACCACTAGTATCTGTTACAGATCCCAGGGAGAGAGCAAAAGGCATCAAGCCCGGTGTCCTGATTATGTTTCAATTTGGATAACTACAGTGGCCTAATTTTATTTATTTATTTTTTAAAAGACTAGAACTCAATTAGAGTCACCCAATTTCCAGAGAGTGAATGATCAGCACTTTTGAAGAATTTAGGCTCAATATGCCTGTGTATATACAAATACAGTACAGGTTTCAGAGTAGCAGCCGTGTTAGTCTGTATCTGCAAAAAGAACAGGAGTAATTGTGGCACCTTAGAGACTAACAAATTTATTAGAGCATAAGCTTTCGTGGGCTACAGCCCACTTCTTCTGTTGCCCACGAAAGCTTATGCTCAAATAAATTTGTTAGTCTCTAAATTGCCACAAGTACTCCTCGTTCTTTTTGCAAATACAGTACACACATTATAGGATAAAATGAATCCTTCACTGCATGTGCAATTTGTTTTAAAGAGAGCCCTCCGATGCACTCTTTGGCTGTTATGAAATGTCAAGTGTTCAGCTGTCAACGCTGTATAAGACTTACATATATTCCACAGTGAGACAACTTAAAAGAACTATCATTAAGGTGCTTTAAATGTAACTACAGCTTTTTCATCTTGCTGTACAAAGAAGTCTTCTACTGTAATAGCAACATGAAAGGTGTCGGACTGCACTGCTGTTTGAACTTATAAATATTTTTTTTCTGTGAGCTAAAAATAGGACCACGGGTGAAATTCAGTGCAAGGCCCATTTAAACCCCATACAGAGGCTGCACTGGGAGAATAGCGGTGGAAGGTTGTGCAGGGGTGCCTGCACATCCCCTATCCACCATGGAAAGGTTCTCCATGACATCCCTGAATAAGCTGGCACAGAAAACCACCATGAGGGTGGGCTTCAGAGCCACAGTTACACTGATTCAGTGTCCCCAGTACCTCCATGCACTTGGTGCAGAGGGCCTGTGGCTACTATCCCAGCCTGTGGGCTAGAATAGTAGCATCGGGAGTGGGGGGAGGGGAGGGCAATGCACTATGGCCCAGTGTTGTGGGGATTGATTGGATTTCTACAACCACTCTTCTCTTCACACACAGAGCCCAGATACTTGGGCTTTATGAAGAGGGAGTGAATTTTAAATCACAGGGCCCAGTTCTGCAAACCCTTACTTGTTTATTAGCCCTTACAATGGATTCACTGAGATTACCTGAATAATTAAGTACAACTCACAGAAACAAAGGTGTGCAGGATCTGGCCCTAATACATTGCCAATTCTTACATGAGTTTCGTGTTGCTTGCATCTCTTTGTTATTTTGCACCAACAACACACCCTATACATCACAAGATTTTAAACAAGTTTTTATGAAGTATATTCCAAGGTGCGTTACTGTTCACCATTTATGCTATTTGTTTACTCTTGGCACTTGTCTCAGCTTGGGGCAGAGAAACCAGAATGGTCATTTTCAGTGTTGGTGTCACTTTCTGGTTTTCATACACTGGCACAATGGTGAAAATGGTTAAGTTTGGGGAAAATCCTTTTCACTGTAGTATTTAAAAACAAGTCATGGGAAATATTCCTTCTCAGATTAGATTTTGTAAAAGCTTAAAAAAAAAAAAAAAAAAAAAATACAAATCTGCATTTTGGGTTACCGCAGTTGACAGGCCCCTTCAGAATGGCAAAAAATACCTTCCATTACATCACATTACCCAACTATCTTGTCGTTCCAGCTAATGAGGAGTTTGTTTCTTTTATTCTATGACTCATTTTATTACACTTGAGTTGTTTAGTCATAACACCTCTCTCGTCAATCACTGAATGTCAGAACACTGCTCTGCTAGATTTCTTTTAAAACGCCCGTGTGAAAATTGCCTGCTTTCACTCAAGCAACACAAAATTACTCCCATTTTTAGACTTTAAAATAAGCTCATACAAGCTGCTGGTTGTCTACAACTTCTCTCTACATGCACCCACAACACCATCTGTACAGAACATTCAGCTTCCCTCCTAGGGCCATCAGGAAGAAAGAAAAGTGAAATGCTGCACCTCCGTGTCAAGAATTAAACCTGAATGTGGGCAAATTCTTGCTCAAAATTTACCACTGGAGAGGTTTTCCCAATCCAACCTTTCATGTACCAACATGACATGAAGGTAACAGTATGAATCCTCACAGGAAAAACTACAAACATGCTGTACTAAAGGATTGATCTGGGCAGGGTACGAAGAGTGATCCCACTGTAGAAAGAGCATAGCACTTATGGGTATGTCTACACAGCATTTTGGCATGAGCCTCCCAACTGGGATCGATGGACTTGCGCAAGTCTTGCTAGCCCAAGTGCGCTAAAACTAGCTGTGCAGACAACTCTTTGAAGTTGCAGCTCAGGCTGGAGCTGGGGCTCTGAAGCCTGGGGCGGGGTGTGAATTCAGAGCCTGAGCTCCAGCTCAAGCCGCAACTTCAAAGTTGTCTACACGGCAATTTTGAGAGCAATAGCGCGAGCCCTGCTCCCACTCACTCCAAAACACCATGCACACATACCCAAAGAGGCCAAGACGGAGAAGTCTTCTGGCAACTAGAAGAGCTATATCCTGGTTAATTAGAACAATCAACCCTGATGACTGCATTCTTTGCCACGAGGATCAGGCTGGCTAATTCACATTTGGTCCTTGCACTTGCATAGCACTTTTCATTTTCAAAGCAACTTCACAACATTCACTTATCAATCCCTGCGACACTCATGCAGTGATTTGCTCAGCTCCACACAGAAAAGTGTGGAAGTCAGAGCAAGAATTCCAGAGTCCTGGGTGCAAGAACATACCGCTCTCACCCTCCTGGTTTTAGAGTCGTTTTGCCATCAACCGAGTCATGATACACAATTCAACTTAGTGGACCCAGGTGAAAATATTCTGTGTCAGTAAAACATTTTTAAAACAAAAAAACGCTAACTCATCTTCGAACATACACTCTGTTTGCACAGTCAGACTCTTCAAGTACAGAAACCAATTCTCTCTCTTAGGGCCAGATCCAATGTCCATTAAATTCAATGGGCATCCTTCCACTAACATTGAGACAAGGGACCCAGACCCTCCTAGAATATGGCTTGCACAGACTTACCATAAGGTTATGATGCAATTGCCATTTCTGTCAGAACACAAAACCCTCACACCAGAGTGGAAACCATCAGGGGCCCCAAGAAGTCAGTTAACTGAAAGTGTTCTGTTCAGATCCCAGGCTGCTCACCTGTCCAGCCAGTATATGCAGAGCAGTCATGTGGATCCGCTGTCTTTAGTCCCTCTTCCATTTGCTGCAGCAGGTCTCCGATTTTACTCTGGATCCGTCTTGTGAACTGAGAACTGATCTGAAACCAGGACAGAGAAATTTAAGGAGAGGGGAGTGAAAAAAATTCAAACTGACTTTGAAAAACCAAGCCCGAATTTTTCTAATGCTTTAGCCAGTTAGACTGTACACAGCACATAAGCAGTGGGTAGCTGGTCCTTAGTGTCCTCATGCAGTTTATAGGCCTTAGCCTAAGAGGAAAAACATGTTTATCTAGTCACGCTTGCATACGAATATTAAAATAACGTTCTTTTAGTAGCCCTTCATGTAAACTTAAAGAATTATATGGATGCCGTGGTATTAATAGTATTTGTTTTTAATAATACCCCTATGAACTTACATACTGCCTTTCATCTAAGGCCAGGTCTATACACTTACATCAGTATAACTACATCGCTCCGGGGTGTGAAAAAGCCACACCCTTGAGCAACACAGTTATACCAACCTAACCCCTGGTGTAGACAGTGCTATGTCGACTGGAGGGCTTCTCCCATCAATATAGGGACTGCCTCTCGCAGAGGTGGATTAACTATGCCAAAAGGAGAAGTTCTGCCGTTGGCGAAGTAGCATCTTCACTGAAGAGGTGCGGCTGTGCTGCTACAGTGTTTTAAATGTAGACCTGCCCTGAGGATCTTAAAACACTAAACAAACCTAACACTACTCCTGTGAGGTAGGTAAAAAGCATATTCAATTTAAAAGTGGTTAAATAAAAGCAAACAGAGGTTAAGAGAATTGCCCCGCAGCACCCAAGAAGCTAGTACTCTACTCCAGGTCTATGCCCATCACCAGTTAGTGTAGCAGAGTGAACTCAAACATGAACAGAGCCCAGAAGCCCTGATTACCAGGTCCCTGGTCTAATCGTTAGGTAATACTGGCTTCGTGGATTGAACTAGTGTGCCAGACATGGCTGACTGGGAAAAATAAAGGTGCATAATGGAAGAGAGAAGAGTGGAGGCGTCAGTTAAATGATCTATTTTAAATGAAATGCTCAAATAGCTCAGAAACTGTCTCCATTCCCATTCCTGTTAATAAAACAACACACACAACAACAATTTAAAAAACAAACAAAAACAACACCCTCCTCTCCTGGTCTAAAATCCTGTTTATTCCATAAAAGATAAGTCTGAAGGAGATGCAATTCATGTCTCTCTTCACTCCTACCCTCACAAAATTTGATTTTCTCTCTCTCATATGTATGGGGGTGTTGTTCAAGGCAACTTCAATACAATATGAAAAGGCTGAAACAAACTAATAAAAGGAAAGAAGTTATGTGAAAGCAGCCATGACAACTCAGCTTACACTAGCATGGCTAAGTGCAAGATCAATAGATAGGATTTTCAGTTTCTGGAGTTTATTTTTAGGCAGACTGCCAATCATTAAATGTAATACAACTGCTCGGGGGAGTACAGCTGCTCATGTGTTCGCAAAGCATGTAGAGTGGTAGTTTTCCTGTAAGGGGTATAGTCTTCTGTAGAAATCACTGTATAGTATGTTCATTACAACTGCGTTATAACATTTCAGGCACTTAGTCCATGTATTGGTTTTATTTTTGATTAGGGAAGCTACATACAGATGTGATGCAGTATAACCTGGGATCCTGCATTGTCACCACGATTTACTCTGTCACTAATGGTATATGAGAAGATACACTATGGAGTACTACCACAGTTCATGGAATAATCAATTATCTATAATGTACTGCCCTATTGACTTCCATGGAGACTACTTCTGTAAGTAAAGTTATTCATAGTTTCTGCGTTCAAAAGGGGAACACTAAGCATCCTATAAAAATGTACTTTTATAATACAATTCTTTTGGCGATTATTCCCCCCCATCGAAACATTAACCCCCTCCCACAAATGTTACAAATAGTACATAGGTGTGGATCTTTAAATAATGTAAAGTACAATTATCCATTTTGGAGGGGGGGGAAAAGAAATTGGTAATCCTTCCAATCTTTGATTATGGACAATTTATTTCACTGACAAGTTTTTATTATGTTCTTACCAGACAATCTAGTAGATCAGTAGTACTTGACTGCAATGGTTCAGACAGTATGTCACTCAAAAAAATTTGAGAAGGGGCTTTCATTTTAACTTCCCTAGAAAGAACAAAATATCTAGCATAGTATGGTAGATTAGTTTCTTCACTCCAGACTATCCTAGCAAATTAGGAGAGAGCTCTAAGAAGATGAGAACTAGTACAGCTTTCAGAGTTGCTAAAACCAGTAGACAGACACAAGTTAGTAGCCTCCAGTATCCAGAAGAGATATATAACTAATTCAGCTAGTTGTTAGCTCAGCTGGTTGGTTATTAAAATGTTTAACCTTTTTAACAATTCTCGGTCTCCCTATTGTATAGTTTTTTTCATTGGCAACTGAAATAAAACAGATGGTTGGAGGCTGTTAATATTAACATGTCCACCTGACGCCATTTGCAATTCTCCATTGCAACAGGAGATTAGTTCATTAAGACAACAGGTTTTTGCTCTACTATAATACATGAAAAATGAGGACTGGGGGATGGCTTCAGTAAAATTAGTAAAAAGAGGCCTGTGTGCAATCATGAAGTTAAGTACTCCAAATATACTACCCTTAGTATCGCTGTTCACACTGCATTTGTACGTTCAGTTGATTTCAAGCATCCATTTTACCGATACAGAACAGGTGACCTATGTATGACAGTTTATAGTTTACACATTTTTTCTTTTCTAGAGGACCCCAGTAATGTATTAGACATTCAGATGTACACCTCCAGGATGAGGGTTCAAATCCACCAGCCCAACCTGGTAGTCACCCAAAGCTATTCACAACTGACAGCTGATCAATGATCTAGGTTTGGTGGTCACAGCCATTTCCAATTAGACAACGGTAGTGCAGCCCCAACACAAAGGGTGGGCAAGGATTAAAACCAACATTTTCACAATGATATATGGAGACTAAACTGTTCTCTCTCCCCTCGAGGTGGTCACTCCAAGGACCAAGGCATACTGGGGGAAGAGCAAGGAAAGGTGGTACTGATGCAATGCGCTATACCTCTTCTGTGGAATAAACAGAGTGGAATGGAGGACTTCGGTCTCCAAGGCTATTAATCTACTGAATGTTAAATGGACATTAAATAAATAAAAATAAGAGAATTTAAATGGTTTTTAAATTACTGAGAACATTCCAGAGACAAGGTGGGTGAGGTAATATCTTTTATTGGTCCAACTTCAGTTGATGAAAAAGCTTTCAAGTTTTCAAGCTACACAGAGCTCCTTGTCTCTCTAATATCCTGGAACAAAATAACTTCAACAAAAATGAGAATATTCCAGTCATATTACCAAATCATGCTGTCTTGCATGGCAGGTCCCTCCAATGGAGGTCAAGATGTTTAGAGGAGGGACTAGGAAGTCCAGACACCTAGGTTCTGTTCTGGACCCTCTCACCTGGGTAAATAATTCAACCTCTTTATGCCGGAGTTTTCCCTGCTCTAAAATGAGGATAATACCTACCACACACCTTGATAAAACGCTTTGAGAAGCGAAGATGAAAGGCACTATGGGCTTTACTCTGATTTCACTTAAACTGGGTTTACACCAGTGTAACACTATTGACCCCATGGAGCTACTCCAGATTTACACCAGCCTAAGTGAGAACAGAATGAGTATCAGTTGCTAGTACTATTCAAAGCCCTGCCCAAATACTTATTACATTTTCCTTTTTTTTTTTGGGGGGGGGGGGGAGTGGGAAGGATTGCTCTGAAGGTTTAACAACTGAGCAGGTACATGATTTGTTTGATAATATTTTACCTTACGTGTTAGGAACACATTTGTTTAAGAATTCCATTCCTTCGATCCAAATCATTTAATTTTGATGCATGTCACTGAATTTAAAACTGGACTGCTTTTCTGCAGAACATTTTAAATTTGTTTAGAAACAATCCTGCTTAAAAATCTATTCTCTGTTTTACTCACCTGTCTTTAAAGACCCACCCAACGTGAAGAAACACTCAGAAGCTCCACTCCTGCAAGCTGATCCATGCGGTCTAGCCCTGTGGCTGCATTAAGCCCATTCACTTTGCACTGATCTGGTTAATGAAAGATACTGGGATGGGCAAGTATGGGGAAAGATGGATTTTATATACATTTAATTTATAAAATGTGAAAAAACAGATTCTCATGGCAGCTTTACAGCTGAGAATAACGTATACTATTTGTATATAGCATGAACAACATATTCATTTTCATGACGATTATTCCAGCTCGTGTTCATCCTTTCATGCTGGCTTCCTACCATGCCTATTTCTGGCAATGGAATGCACGGGGAGCGGAGGGGGGGGGGGAGGAGAATCTGACTTCCAATAGCAAGGTATTAACTTTATTCCCGGTTTCCACTAGAGAGTGTGCTGCACAAAGGGATGACAAATTCTTAGAGCAGAAATGGCTCTCTTCAGAAATACAGTTTCTGTATTACTCCTCCTCTGCTGCTGGTGAAATAAACCTGTGCTATCTTCCTAACTGCTACTCTGTTCTCTATATATAGAACAAACAATTCAAATCCACCATGACCAGTGATTTTTTCTTTCAATTATGTAGGAACTGAAAAAGCTCTTTTCAACCTGAAACAATAGAACGCCACAAAACATAAATACGTAATTTTGCAGATTAAATGCTGCATAATGGGATTCATAAATCTCATCAGTTTTCCATTGCTGCTGCTGCTGCTGGTGGTGGTGGTGGTGGTGGTGGTGTGTGTGTGTGTGTGTAATAAATAAAAAAATAATGTATAGTGTGCATGCACACAGGACCTAATCCAAACTCTCTGAAGTCAATGAGAGTCTCGGGTTCATAGACTGTACACAGCATGCAATTTAATTGAATTTTGGTATATATGATAACCATAGCTTGTATGTCTTTTCATGCCTATATGTTCCACACCTACTTTTGTTAGCCTGAAGACTTCAAAGTAAATCTAAGGTCAAGTTCAGCACCAAATCTTATTTAAAAAGTTAAGGTACGGTTCCTTTTTTTTTTTTTTAAGTG